ATTTCATGAAATTGGTTTTCCACCCAAAGCCCCACGTGACCCCCTTTTCTTGCTTTTCACTGAATTGGTTTTCCCACCACTTTGGTGGGAAATTGGTTTTCCAGCATAATTTTTTTTTTATAAAGGAAACAAATTATATCCCTTTAATAGACAATTTTAATGTAAAACAAAGTCAAACGAACGCAAAAAAATCCAAAATTTCAATATTTTCCACGTAAAAAATTATACTAATCAAACACACAATTAATTGATAATTCCCAAGAAAACAATTTTAGGCAATTCAATTCCCTAGAATTCATTTTCTTTCCACCCAAATTCCACTCTTACAATCAAATAGACCCTTAGTCTCAATTTCCAATCAATGCTTACAACACCTATTTCAATGTGAAATGTAGAGTCCGTGAAAAATGGGGAAAAGGGTCAATATAACCCAATTAGTCATATTGGACTCATCAAGCGTACCTTATTAACAAATTCATTTAGAGTAACAGTTAAATTTAATGATCATAAACCAAATGTCAACCAATCCATATCCATTATATTCTCAATATAAGATCCATGGTTTGCCCAAGTTCCCTTGAACTTCTCTCTACTAGCAACAGAAGAGAACAGAGCAAATCACCACGAGATTTACACTACTAAAGAATTTGTGAGATCAAGATTGGAATTCAAAATCTGATCAGTTTTTGCAGGTTACAAGCTTAAAAATTCGAGTCAACGCCGTGAATAAACTACCAAAGTACTTGCTTGAGGCCCAAAAGAGCAGGCCAAAGATTCTTTCTTTAAAGATCAGAACGTAACTCTAGAAATAAAGGTAGGACCTAGGAGTGGAAAAGTTTGTAATTTTAAATTGCAGTCATGATGATGACAGTGAGCCAAATAAATGGAGCTTCTGTAAACTCGGATACCTTACATGCTTGAAATGTGAGATATGAACACTGGGCAAATACCAATGGACTTTTCTTTTAACCTTTATATATAGGCTGCTTCTAAATATAATTCCTTCTATTTCTAGTGATTTGGCACTATCAAGGAGGAACTCCAAGCTTATTACTTTTCAAGCAGATCATTTCCAGACAATCAAGTCCATTGATCACATTCAATTCATTAGTTTCTTTGATCTAATCTAATTTATTCTTGAAGGTGTCACACATAGTGAGACTGCTGCCCGCATTCATGATTTAAACAGTGAGATTAAAAGGAAAGAAACCCACGAGGTGCAAGAGCAGGAGTGGAGAGGATGATAATACATAAAAAGAAAGTGCTAAATAGAAGAGGTGGCAGTATACGTTAACACTGTGCATGTTCTACTATATCCACTGGTATCAGTGGTTTGTTTATTTGGCATAAATATGCCTTTTCTATATGAGATGCATAGAGGTGGTGAGCAAGGCGGACTATTGGTGGCAATCTTGGGTCTGCAGTTATGGTTATACCTTTCCTATATGAGATAAATAGAGATAGTAAGAGAGGCAGGCTAGCAGTAGCAGTGATGGGTCTATATTTATGGTGGAATGCATTGGACATTGGAGGGACAAAATAAGGATGTGCAAGGGAAAAGAGAATGGATTCTAAACAAAAGGAGATCTCATGATAGTCCAGTGAGATAATATTCACACTGTTTCTCATAAAGGAGAGTAGATAGTTTCTAACGTGCCAATAAAGTCTTGTCCGGTGGTACAAGAAAATCACAACAATAAAAACAAAAAAATAGAGTTGAGGGGTAAATTTATATTATATTTTATTTAACTCCAAGATGAATATTAGAAACTTCTATATACATCAGTACAGTAACCCATTTAACTAAGGTGACGTTAAACAACTTTCTGACATGTAATGCATAATCACCAATTTTTTCAGCAAAAACATAACCCTGCACCTATAGTTGAAATAGAACTCTTTATTCCAAAGTAAGGTCCACACAAGCATAAGAAACGGTGCCATAGAAACCTCTTCCACTCTGTAGGATGGTGTACCATTTAGAAGGGGAACAATATTAGACCACCCACCGCCCACGGACTAACTTGCACTGTTGGTGATTGTAATCATTCCAAAAAAATAAGAAACAGCTCATGAATTGCTGTGCAATGTAAGATGGAGGGTTACAATAGGCAAGATAACATTAAGCATTATTTCCAACCAGGGTGTAGCAAGGAGATGGAAAGCAGGGTTTTGCATAATTTTTCATAATACAGTAAATTGCTTACATCACTCAAAGCAGGCTGTGGAACTTTCTTGCTTGTTTCAAAAGAATCCAGCATAGGCCTCACAACTGCTGGAAGAAAGAGTCCTGCAATTTTTGCAATCCAAATGAGGTAAGATGGAACATACCTTTAATCTCCACATATAGAAACCTATGATTAAGTACATTCTGTTTACAGACAAGCAAGACATCATCTACTCAGAAATCTCTACAGCACTACATATATAAGGACAACACTCTCCATGTATTTAAGTTGTGCATTTCCATTTAAAAGATTCAAGAACAGAATATCTATGAAATCACACAAATTACAAGATGAAGAGGTAAATGTTTACGCACTTAAAGAGGGGATAAATTTATTT